GAATTATGAGAAAAAAAGTCAGAATTCTGAGATTAAAGTCAGAATTCTAAGATTAAAATGAGAATTATGAGAAAAAAAGTCAGAATTCTAAGATTAAAGTCAGAATTATGAGAAAAAAGTTAGAATTCTGAGATTAAAGTCAGCAATTCTGAGAAAAAATTCAGAATTCTGAGATTGAAGTCAGAACTATGATAAAAAAAGTTAGAACTCTGAGATTCAAGTGAGAATTCTGAGAAAAAAGTCAGAATTCTAAGATTAAAGTCAGAATTTTGAGAAAAAAGTCAGAATTCTAAGTTTTTTTCTCATATTATACAAAATAAAAATAAATGAAAATAAAAAATCAGTTAACTTTTTTAATTTCTTCAGTGGCCCTAATCCTCTTTCGTACTTTTCAGCACGTTTCAAACGCGGATAAATTAGTTTTTTGAGTCAGTAGTAGGTCATATCAAAAACATTTACAGAGAAATATGGCAAATGTTTGTCAATTTATAGCTTCAATCAGTGCTTTTGTGTTTTCGCAAAAAGAAGAGAAAGAAAGCCGAAAATATGCGCATGAAAAAAAAAGAAAACACGGGACGGTGGGGAATGCGCTTAATTGCAACCAGATGTGTGGAGAAGAGGGAAGAAGCTGCGCTCTGCTTTTTGGCCCAGTTTCTGAAGCTTCACAGGGTGTAAATAGCTTCATTGGGCAGGTTTATGGTCAAGTTCAGTCAGACTTTAACCAAAAAAAAGTAAGCAGAGAGGGAAAGATGAGTAACAGCAGAAAAGGGGGCTGAGCTTTTTCGTCAGTGAAGTTCAGGAAATGCGAGAAAGTGCAACGCTTGCAGAAAAAGATGAAGAATAGTGGATGATACAAAAAAAAAAATCTACCCGGTTAACCTTCGAACTTTCTTTCTTTCTGCTCACAAGAAGTCACAAGACGAGCTGTCGTATAATTTCACGGATGCCACTTCTAACGGTAAGAGTGTGTTTATCTGTTAAGGGTTAACATGTGTGACTTGGGGCTTTAAATGTTCACATTTCTGCACTAAATACTCTTTATCAGTAAGTAAATGAATATGCAACGCAAATATTTCACATGTAGGAAAGGAAAGATATAATTTTTTGCACATATGTTACAGAGAGCGCTTTACATTCTGCATTAAAGGGTTTTGGGAAGAGTCCAGGAACCCAAACTCATCATGTCCGTCTACTTTAATCCGGGACCAGATTCGGAAGTAAATGGGTGAGAAGAGCGATTTTATGTTAAGCTTTTATTGGTGCATGTGATTGAAACTCATTTGACAGGAATGTGTGATTTAATGCAGAGCTGCAGGGAGGTGGCCAGTCTGTCCTAAACAGAAACCCAGGTTACTGGGATTAATCTTCCTCCTGACACTTACTTCATCCACTCCCTTCATGGTTTAGGTTTAGAGAATTAGCTGGCCTATCCTACGGAAGAGCATTAGGGCCACTGAAAAAAATCTGACAGAATTCTGACTTTAATCTCAGAATTTTGACTTTAATCTCAGAATTTTGACTTTAATCTCAGAATTT